AGGAAAGAATCAAGCTATTTCTTCTGGGGGGGAGAATAACATAGGCAGTGCACTGATGTCATCTGACAACTTTCAAGGTCAGTGGAAGTGTAGACTTCTTACATGTTGTCATTTCCAACCTCTCTTATATGGTGACAAATGGCAATGTGACCTAACTATTGCGAATTTAAAACATAATTAAAATGTTTTCTTAAACTATCCCTTCAACCCTCGAACTCCAATTTTTTTGGGATTGTACTGGGTTTGTTGTATCCCTTCGACCCTCCCCTTACCACCCTTCTTGGATATCATTTGGCTCACTAGTATCTATTTAATGAATAAATAGTATGATCTATTTGATCCTGTTTTTAGTACATGGTATAACCTGTTTGCCATGTTTATTGGATTGTATGGCTGAAACTTGGAAGCATAATCTGAAAGGCTGTAACCTAAATTATAGGATAATATACAAAAGCACATCAGTGCTGTATTTGGTAAGGTTGCAGCTTGTGATTTCAAGTTGGGAACAAATTGGTAAATTCCTAGTAATTCTCTGACTTGATGGTTTCCCATAACTCTTGACTTCCAAATGATAAGTTATTATGTCTTTTTTATCAACATTTTGGCTACTATCTGATCTTATTTGACTCCTATTGCCTTGAGTATACCTTGTTCAGGGATGCTATCATAGACACACTCAGAAATGACTTCCAAATGATCAGTTAGAATAGCTTTTTTTATCAAGATTTTGACTAATGTCTCGTTTTATTTATCTTTTATTGCCTTCTATACCCTGTTCAGGGATGCTACCAAAGGCACACTCAGAAATGGGTTATTATGGAGATTTGCCCAATGAGGGGGCCAATGAGATTGCTGGAGTTAATGTATATGGGACAGGGTTACAGAATGAAATTGGAGAGTACAATTGCTTCCTGAATGTCATTATCCAGGTCTGTAATAAGAATCTGTCTGAAGCCCTCAGAGCGGGATCTCATTATGGATTATATTTTTGTTTATCAAGTCTTGTTCCTTTTTTTGAAGGCTGTGGTTTTGTATGTTTCTTTTTTTTTGTTTCATTTCAGTCATTGTGGAATTTAAGCCGCTTTCGAGATGAATTTTTGAGATTATCCGAGCATGTTCATGTTGGCGATCCTTGTGTTGTGTGTGCTTTATATGGTATTTTTACTGCTCTGAGCATGGCATCTTTGGAGACACAAAGAGATGTTGTTGCTCCTACTTCCTTGAGGATTGCCTTGAGCAACCTGTACCCTGATAGCAATTTCTTTCAGGAGGTAGTGTTTACCTTTGGCTGTTGGTAAAACAGTTTCAATTTTTTTACTATAGGATTTTAAAACCCATGGTCTGAAGTCCTTATTAACATGATTAATATGATCTACAGGGGCAGATGAATGATGCTTCAGAAGTGCTAGGTGTAATATTTGATTGTCTCCATCAGTCGTTTACTTCGGATTTGGGCGCTTCTGATACACAATCAACTGCTAGGCGCTTGGACTCATGGGACTGTACAAACAGTGCTTGTATTGTACATTCCATGTTCGGAATGGATATCTTTGAGAGGATGCTCTGCCCCAACTGCAACTCAGAATCTAGACATCTGAAATACACTAGTTTCTTTCACAATATTAATGCCAATGCACTGAGAACGATGAAGGCATGTTCACAGTAGTATTTTTTCTAATTAGTCTTTTTCCCATCAACGTTAAGAGTGAACTGATTTCTTGTTTGGTGGTGGTGTGGATTCTAACTTAAATCACTTAACAACGGTTTACAATCTTACCTTACAGGTTATGCATCAAGAAAAATCATTTGATGAACTTATGAATCTTGTAGAGAGGAACCACCAACTGGCTTGTGATCCAGATGCTGGTGGATGTGGGCAACTTAACTGCATTCACCATTTCCTGTCAACTCCACCAAGTGTCTTCACCATAGGTATTTCCTTTTCGGCAGCTATCCTGCTTTTGCCACTTCCCACATTCATGCAATTGTAATGAATACTAGTTGGAAAATGTCAAAATTTGGGGAATGTTAGAAAAGAAAAAGAGAAAGCATCATCAATTGCTTCCTTAAATATCTTAGGATTTCAATGCTTTGTTTTCCACTGTAGTTCTGGGCTGGAAGAATACATGTGAGAGTCTTGATGACATAAGAGCAACATTGGCAGCCTTATCCACTGAGATAGACATCAGCATCCCTTACCATGGTTTAGGTCCTGGCAGCAAATATACTCTAGCCTCAGTGGTAAGCCTCAGGCACAACTTATTTGCGATCGTATGTTGTCTGGAGATCTTTTTTCTTTTTTTAAAAAAAATTACTGTTTTAGTACATCCTGGAAGAACTGTCCGATAGTTTCTTCATCTCTGAACTTTTATTCGTCAACTTAATTACTGTTATGGTTATATGGTAATATGGTTATTGATTTGGTGGGTCGGGATATAACGGGTTGACTTCCTGGAAATACATTTTCAGGTTTGCTATTACAGGCAACATTATCACTGTGTTGCATACAGTCGTCATCATGAAAAGTGGATCATGTACGATGACAAGACTGTGAAGGTAAGATTTTGGGGTCATTTCATATGGTGTAGAGTTGTTATCATTATTATGGGTGTTGTTGATGTATAGGGGATGTTTGGTTATTCTGTTTAGGTGATTGGCAGCTGGGATGATGTTCTGTTGATGTGTATAAAGGGGCACTTGCAGCCTCAAGTCTTTTTCTTTGAAGCTGAAAAATAACTTTGCATGGTCAGGGAAGCTTTTGATCACGAGCTGTACAATTTTCCAAACCACAAATTTGTAAATGTCAAAACGAATTTTACAGGAAAAAAAACACTCTAGTTGACACAGTTAGCAGTTAATTGAAGAGAGAAAAAGATGCTCTGTATAGATCTTATGGTTATGGATGGGGTTCTTGAAAGTCATGCTGTCTGTAGTTTGGGAGGAGAGAGGGCTGGACTTGGGAAAGAAAATTTTGTGTTGGAATATTAAGGGCTCAGCTTTTTTTTGTCTTTTTTGGTTTTTTTTGTATGTGTTGCCTTGATACAAACAATCAAGGGACTCAAACTGTGTTCTATCTTTGCACTTAAGCCTGGCCTTTGGTTCTCTAATTTCTTGCTCGGTATTCTCTCTATAAGTTTTGTCACGCAATGCGTCTCATATCAAATTTGGTCCAGAGTATGACTTGTGGTTTTTGATTAATTCATATGTATAGTAGTGTTGCATAGTCAATTGAATCACCCCATTCTATTTTTGTGTATATGTTGTGTTGCTTCCTTAACTTTCTTCTACCAAAAAACGATAATTTGTGACTCTCCAAGGAGTGATTATGATTTATGATCATCATGTTGGGATAGTAACATGAATGGCACAGGGCATCACGCTTCAACATCTGCCCCTCTCTATCGTCTCCTTGTGAGCTCACTCTATTTATATTACTGTTTTATTTCAATCTAAGTTTTTTTTGGGGGGAGGGTATTGTTCTCTTCATCTTATCTAGGCTGATCTAATTTGAATATAGTTATATTTAAAATTATTTCTGATGTACGTTGATCCCAATAAGAAAAAGTAATAAGACTAAGTTAAGGAGAACAAACTCTTAATCAACTACATAATGCATTTTAAGTCAAATTTAGTTTTGACCTTTTAAAGTTAAATTAGATAAATTTTAATCATCAATTATATTACATTTACATTGCATATTAAAACAAAAAAAATATATTTTTTGATAGCTTTTCACAAAATAAATCTAATGTAATTGTTCTATACTACTATATCCCATATGATCTTTATTTAACTGATTACTAGAGGCTGCTGACTTCGATTAAAATAAATAAATTTAATGGATGTTCTAAGATAGAGGTAAGTATAGATGTTTCACACATAATGGAGGATTAAATTCGTCCTCTTCAAACCATTTTTGTGACGTAGAAAATACTCCACACTTGAGAGCTAGAGTGATCAATTCAATATTCACACAATAATCCTCCGTACAATATTTTAAGAATATTTTGATGCAATAGTTACTTTCGACAAATTTTTGTAAGATGCCTAAAATTGAAATTAGTCACGTCATCTTTTCTAATAATGATGATAATAATAATAATAAAAATACTTATGGTACACCAAGTAACAATAAATCTGTCAAGATGATGATGATGATTATAATGCTCCCCAATAATAGTAGTAATCCATATTCATTATAGTTCAATTTATCCATTTGTGATGAATAGATAATTTTATCCTAAAAATAAAAAAAGAAAGATATTGAATGTAATCCAACTTCTAAGGATATAGTTGTTCAACATTTAAAATGGATTTAGCCAAAAAGGTTCGAATTTAGTCATATCTTAATGATAATAACAGTTACAACAACAACAACAATAATGATAAATGATAATAATAATAATAATGGATTATAGATAATACTCGATAATAATGATATGGTTGTTTGAAATTGATACTTCATTCGCCGTAATTTAAATTGCTCGTTTATTATATACAAGGTCAAATTTTAACCATTTGTATTGTCATTTTTGCTATTCATTTGGAAAAAGAATATATTCTTGTCATTGTAGAAATTTTTATATAATTTTTAAATATATAAATTTTAATGTTTAATTCATACTCCGTATTAATTTAAAACGAATTGAATTGAAAATAGCTTACTTAAATTTCTTAAACAACATTAACAGTAAATCCGAATAATATACTCCCTCCGTCCCGTTTTATAACGCCTATTTCGGTTTACGATGTTTGACTGAAATTATTTTCAAATCATTTTATATGACAAATGGTATAGAGTTAAAAAATAAAAATTACATATCAAAATACTACATCAAAAGATCTACAAAACTAGTAGTGACAACAATACTTTATTTTATCAAATTGCTAACGAAAATAGAGAATGAAAGTGAATAAAGTTTGACCCTGTAAATAGTGAACAGTCATTAATTATAACAAGGAGTATAACATAGTTTGAAATAAGAAGCCCAAACTTATAAGCCGAACAAGTCCATTGAAAGGATTCGCGCAAGAAGATACGTTCACCGACCGAATCGAGGAAGAGGAATAGCGCTCGGGGGACTCTGCTTCACCGGGGAAGAGTTAGGGCTCAGAAGTCGACGGCGAGATGAAGACGACGAAGGGTGGCAAAGTCATGAACCCTACCGACGCGTATCGGAAGGAGTTACGCAAGCGCGAATTGAAACGGGTATGTTTTCCTGCCATAATTTTCACCAATTCAGGGATTATAGATTATAATTTCGTTTTTTGTTCCCCAGCTAAAATGAAATTTGGTGATGAAATTATGCTTTGGAAATTTACTAATTTAGCAGAAATCAGAAATTTCTAGGATGTAGCATAACATCTCAAAAGATCTGGATTTTTGTGATATTGAAAAAAAGAATCTTCTAACCGTATTCTGCAGTTGTTTCTAAATTGATTCTATTAGAAGTTTTAAAATATTGTTATAGTCTGCACTTAGCTAAAAGTTGCATAAGGATAACTTTTTAGGCCTCCCATTGATTGGTATTCTTCTCCATATGTTTAAGGATTGATATATGACTTGTGATCGTGTTCTATTTCGGTTTGTTTGTAGTATACCAGTATGAAAACATGTGAAGCTTATAACAAGAATGATGTTATTTTACAGAATAAAAAAGAAAGGAAGAAGGTGAGGGAAGTTGGCATTTTGAAGAAGGATCCTGAGCAAATAAAAGATCAAATTCAGAAGCTAGAAGTAATGAGTAAGCCACTGTTTGCTTGTGTTTGTTTCTTCTAATTCTTCAGTGTGGACTTATTCGGGAGAGATTGTATTGGACTAATATGTTTTAATGTATATTATGGCTTTTGTTGATAGTTCAAAATCACTTTGTCCTATTTTTTTTGGGAGTAGGTCATTTTCTTCATTTCTGATTGCTCTTTCTTAGAAATAGACTTTTAAGTTTCTAGTCTGTTTCTTTTTTATATGAGGGGAACTTATATACCTTCGTTATAAAGATGATCTTTAGGCCCACATGTCTTCCTCTCGTGAGACGACATATTGAATTTGGAATTTGGTGCTGAACATTTCTGTGGCCCACATGTCTTCCTCTCGTGACTTTTTTACATTATTTTTTTAATAACAAAACCATGCTAGTGGCACGTAAACGGGCAACAAGCTGCGCCACAACCCCCAGATAGAAAAACCAATCGTACTAAAGACAAAGCTATATGTCTTTTAATGAACTCTTTCCATCTTCAATGATTTTATGCTTTAAATATGAATACCTTAGCGTCCATCGTGCTTAAAGAATTCACCAATTGTAATGAAAATACTATTGTGTTTTGCATTCAATCGTGCAGAGGCGGAAGGGGCCCTTGATAAAGCTAGAAAACACAAAAAGAGACAACTTGAGGATACCCTAAATCTCGTTCTCAAGAAGAGGAAGGTAATATTCTTGATATAGTCATTTTTTGCGTATTTATTGGAACACAGCTCCCTTTCTAGAAAATTCTGTCTTTGTTTTGGATTTATTTGAGATAATGCTTACAACAACAACCTAGCTGGATCCCGTGATTGTACATTAAAAAAACTTGACATAATGCTTACTCTATATTAATACGATAGCGATTCTATTAATCTGTTTCACTTAAGTTTGCACTGCTCTCCTTGAATGAATTTTTAGCTGATCAATAGTTGTCTGAGTTTAGGCCACCACAGCTTCCCCCTCCCCCCTCATTCAAAAGTTCCCAAACAAAGTTTCATTGACTTGTTTTCATTACATCTCTTTGGAATAGTCCATTTTCTTAACTATTATGTCCCCACCTGCCCACCCCCAGTCCCCCACCCTAAAAGAGTGTAAGTGGGGATGTTAAATTATCATAATGCTTTGGGAAATTTGAAAAGATATCAAACTCCTATCTTTTACTCGTGCTGGTCAACCTTCATTGCCTGTTTCAGTTGCATTACTCACGTGTACCTTGAAAAAGTTCTCAGTTGTTCTATAGTTCTATATGTTTATTCTACCATAGCTCTCTCTCTCTCTCTAAAGCTTGCAAACAAAGTTCCATGGACTTGTTTTGATGACATCTCTTTGAAACAGTCAATTTTTCATTCGTCTGCTCCTCCAAAAAATGTGTGCGTGGGTATATTAAATTATCATTATGCTTTGGGAAATTAGAAAAGAAGTCAAACTCCTATCTTTTACTTGTGTTGGTTAACCTGCATTGCTGCGTGTTTGCTCTGTTTTCTACTGGGAAAGTAGTGTGTTGGTCATGGAAAATTTTACCTGTGGCAGGAATATGAAGATAAAGTGAAAGAAAAGGGTGAAGCACCAGTTATGTTCAGGTGAAGCAGCCATTTTTCTGTTATTTGTTTGTTGTGACTTTTTGAGGATAATGTTGCATTCCTTTGTGCTTGTTTGCTGTGACTCCTGTGAGTAAAGAAAATGTATCATCATTTCTGTGCTGCAGCCACTTGGGACCTCCTCCTCGAAGGCGGACTACAGCAGAAGAGGAAGATATGGTCAAGCATCCAAAACCTGAGGTAAGCTCTCATTTGTTTCCCATCTGGTACACATGGTTTAACCATATTAGTTTTCTCAAGAATGTATCACAGTTGTGAGTAAATCTGCATGCAGGATTCAGTTTATTACCACCCAACACTCAACCCCACTGGAGCTCCTCCTCCTGGAAAGCCTCCCATGTTTAAATCATCAATAGGTATGCAGTAGTTCAATTTGTCTCATATAGGTTGGTCCCCACTCCCACAATCTGACACCTGTTTTGCAGGACCTAGAATACCCATGTCAGAGGCGTCATCAAGTGGTGCTGCATCATCATCTATGCCAGAAGAGGATGGTGGTTTGCCCACCTCTTCTCTTCCATCCACTTCACCACTTGCACTTCCTTACCCAAACAATAATGCAGACCCTGTAGATGGTTCTATGATGCCTCCATCTCTGCCTTTACTGCCTCCACCTCCTATGCCTCCAAAACCTGAAATGACAAACTTGGATACATCGTTGCCACCTCCTTTGCCACCACCGCCTTCTGGCCCCCCACCCAATGAACATGCAGGAATTCGTTCATCACTGCCCCCACCACCGCCGCCACCGCCAGTTCACCAGTCTGTTCTATCTCCTCCACCAGGTATTGGTGGAAATGAACTTGGAAAAGGTTACACTGTGAAAACTGAAGAACCAGCATCTATGGAATCACCACAGGTAGGTTTCATGGTGTGTGGTTCTACAATTGCAATGACGTGAATCATACTCCCTCCGTTTCACAAAACACTTCCGTCCTAATTTTTCGCGCACCCCATAAAACACCTCTACTCCACCTAAAATGTTTAAAATACTCTCAGGACTACTTCTACCGGAAATAAACTACGAAATGGAAGTGTATTTTAGACATTTTAAGTGTGGTAGAAGTGTTTTGTGGGATGCACAAAAAATTAGGGCGGAAGTGTTCTGTAAAACGGAGGGAGTACATGATAAAATGGTCTTTGCACATCATATTTGGCCCTACTATTTGACTTTGCTGCACATAATTTATTTTCTTTGAGCATGCACTCCGAGGACTCCATAGTGGGTCATTTATATATTCTATTAGACGTTGGATCCGATTTGTTCGGCTTTTCACCGTATGATTTATATTAACAAATGACTCTGCATCCCACTTGATTGTTTAATTGTATTAATTGTTGCCAGTGGACTGTGGACTCAATTTTGATTAATTTTTCTTCCTAATTTTCTGTCCCAGGGTTCATCTATACTACCCCCACCGCCTCCACCACCAAGGTTACCATTGAAGTCTGAGGGGACGTCTTCTGAAAACGACTCTAAACCTCCAACAGGGACAGATGATATGCTAAGAATGGCTCCGCCACCACCTCCACCAAGGCAACAACAACCTTTTGTTCCTGGACCTGCTTTGATCCCATCTTTGCAGCCTGATGTATTGCCACCTGGAATATCTCGGTTCCCTCCACCTCCTCCACCCACAGAGATGGGGCTGCCACCACATGGAATAGTTGGTCAGCATCCTCCTCTCCCCCCTGGAGTAATGGTTGTTCCACTTATTCCTAGACCGCCCTATGGACCACCACTAATGATGAGACCACCCCTTCCACCTGGGCCTCCTCCAATGCCACCCTATGATGGTACCACTAGACCACTCGCCTCTCAAAAGCCTTCCTACATTAAGTCAGCCGCATCAACAGTTGTTAAGAGGCCTCTTGCTCAGCATACTCCAGAGCTAACTGCTATGGTGAATCAAACTATTTTGAACTATTCTCTATGTGCTGATATCCTTTTATATAAAATTTATCTGGGTGACTGTTAGATAGCCATCCTTTTGGCCATTTTTTAGAAACAATATTTTATATGACTGACATTGAATTTGTTATAATGAAAAAAAGTACAGTTGAAGGCACTTTTGGGATAATTTTTTTACTTCCCTTTTAATTTTTTCCCTCTGTTTCGTCAATAAGATATACTTTAAAAATCAAAGTTTTGAAATGATTTTAGCAACTTCATCCAAATTCACCCTCACCAAACGGGCTCTTAATATCTTGGATGAATACTTTTGCAGGTTCCTGCATCTGTACGTGTGAAGAGAGAATCTACTCAACCAAAACCAAAACCGAAGGGATCAACAACAGTTGTAGTGAACCAGCCCACATTTAGTAGAGCAGCAGTGAAGCAAGAACGTAGCAGTTCGGCTCAGCCTAAGCCACAAAGTATTGACGACTCGTACATGGCATTCTTGGAGGACATGAAAGCTCTCGGTGCTCTTGATGGTAAATGACCCCCCGAGTGTTCGATCAATTTAATATGGCGGTGACTTGTTGTCTGGTTATATGTCCCTATTGGTGTGGGAGGGAGGTGTTTGGATTTTCTAATTGTTCATTCTATTGTGTGGTTGGCTATCTGCTTTACCCGGTCACAGTACAAATGTACTTCAGTTTAATTTATTCAAGGAATACTTTTGTTTTAACTTGCAAACATTTTGAATTAAAAGTTTATTTTACTACGAGTAGTATTTTTTGCTCCATTATTACTGAAAGTCGCTGTTATGTTAATTGTTTGGTTTTATAAAAATATTCACGTTAATTTTGCTGGTCGTGGCTTCGGTCCCCTAACACCCATTTTGTTGCAAAATGGGTTTAGTATAAGTTTCTTCTCTAAGGGATCCCCAGTCCCCACATTGACTGTGTGAGCTGTGTGTGAAGCAGTTATATACTTATATAGGACAACTGAGCATCTCAAAATTGTATTGTCTTTTGAATGATTTAAGAACTAATTTGTGGTTGACTATAGTTGGTGGTGGTAACTCTGGTAAGTAGGGATGTAAGTATATTACACAAGGTTGACTAAGAACTATTAATTTTTTTTATTATTTAAATGCGAATGCTGATAAAAGAATTGTTAAAATCGATACAAATAATATGTAGCGATCCAATAAAAATAATACTCTGTATCAAAATACACTTCTAACATTAATACGGAATGCTCCATAGTTCTTACTCTAGTTGTCACCATATCTGTTTTTATAGTAACTCTTACCTCTTCGAGTAGCAAATTTGTGTGATTCATGCTAGCGTCATTAGAAAATTGGTTACAAAATCAAGAAAGTAAAATTGTGTAGTTGGAAATGAGTGTTGGGATATCGGCCCAAACAAGGTTCGGCCTGATAGATCAAAGCGTAATAACATCCAGAGAAATCGAGACCCAAGATTGGGCCGGGCCACATTGAGCACCATACGAACTAGGGCTTTATGTTCAAGACAACACGGATCGAGTAGGACTCGAATTCATCCTCCACGGACGAGTAGTGAGAGTCACTTAAAGTCACACAACTTTTAGTCTTCATCTTCTCCTCTTTTTGTAATTGCCTTCGTGCTTGGATTTTCTTTATATATCACTGTAACACTTTGACATGAGTAAAAAATAATTACGCAGTGGAATTTTCTTTCCTTTCTTGTTCACTCACATCACCACCTCTCCTTTAATAACGGCGTTAGATTTTCTGAAACGTAACCGGTGTACTTTGTTAAAAAAATAATTCGGAACACACAAATAAAAATTGAGTAAATTCTATAATTGGTCCTTTATAACAGGGGGGTTTCCCTATTTAGTCCTTTATTATCAAATATTACCCAAGTGGTCTTTCTTTTATGGATACCTATCCACAAATAGTCTTTTTTTTGATCTTCTATCATGTTGGTGTTAATTTGAGGGCTAAAAGTGTAATTTTACAATGATAATATATCTTTTTTGTCATACACAATTCCAAAGGATATTCCGTTTGCGTCGTTTGTGAATTACAGTCGCTTTTTACGACAACTATAGTCTACAAATGTGATCTTTCGTCAGAATCCTAGCCTACAATCATAGTCATTATTTTTGTGTTATCCGCTTAACCAATATCAGAACACGTCACTAGACATAATGTTGACGTCAAATTATATTTTTAGCCTTTAAATTAACACCAACACGGCAGAAGATAAAAAAAAGGACCATTTGTGGAAAGGTGCCCTTAAAAAAAAGACTACGAGGGTAATATTTGATAATAAAAGACTAAATATGGAAACCTCCTGTTATAAAGGACCAATTATGGAATTTACTCAATAAAAATTGAACGACTTTAAAAAGGGAAATAGTTTTTTTGTTGGAGAGAATAAATATACAACTCCATACTTTGCAACTGGCTTGCCATCTTTGTACCGCTGCAAAACAGAAAAAGTGAACAGAAATGTGTGCTTCGCTCATCCTCCAGCCGCGGTTTCACGCATCAATTCATAATGGGTTACTTCACTTCTTTTCTCAAAGGTCAGAGCTTTGCTGAGGAAAATGAGAAAGAAAGTGAGAATGGGCAGGACGCGGACCCCACCAGCCACAATATTGTTGAGCCAAGAAATTGTTTATGCCAATGGATAAGTCAACTATGTTCACTTCCCACTTGGTGTCCTAAACCCAGCTGACAACTGAAATATTCAAATGTCATTTTGCATTTATGATCGAGAGGAGTTCGATTTAACTCTTTTATGAGGTTAGTTGCCTGCTAGGTGTTTGTGTTTTTGCCGCTGAAGAATGTATGATCCGTTTCATGTTCTAATCTTTTTAACAAGTGGAGTACATCTTTTTGTTTAATGCTTCTTTGGACTTTGGTTTCTCAGTTTATTCTGATGGGAGGAAGTCTTCACTTCATCGTCTTATATCTCTTTCTCAACCTTCTCCAGCTTCTTGCCCCTGCTTTTTCACTTCCTTTATGCACAAATTCAGGCAAGAAGTTGGTTAATTTACTCTGTTGCGGTTTCATGTGGAAGTCTATAACGCTTATCTTTGGCTTCTTCTATCTTACGTGAGGCTCTTGTTTTTATTATTGTGCTACAGAAGCCCCCCTACGCCATAAGGATCCTTTGAAATTCTGCCCTTACAATGGAACTTCTTGCTGCAACCTTGCTGATGACTCCCGCATCCAGAAGCACTTTCAACTCATGAACATCTCCGACTCTCCCTGTGCTTCTCTTCTCAAATCTGTTCTTTGTGCTGTAAGAATATAGTTTCTTTGAGAGAAAAAATGCATCTTTGATTCATTACCTTTTCTTTTGACCACTAGAAATCACTTTCATTTGCCATGGAATGCAATTTTTTCTGCACGGTAATTGGCTCTTCACGTCTGACACTTTTTGTAGGAATGTGATAAATTTTCGGCAGAGCTTTACAGAACTAGTTCTGTTCCTAGACAAGTTCCGGTGCTTTGCAACTCAACTGCTTCTTCAATCTCTAATGGAACCACCCGAGAAGCAAACAGCTTCTGCTCAAAAGTGTGGAGAACTTGCGAAAAAGCATCCATAACAAACTCAATCTTTGCTTCCTCTTTAAAGGGTCAAGTTCCGGCACCTGTAAAGTCCAACATTACCAAACTAATAGATATCTGGCAGTCTGAAGCAGATTTTTGTAATGCGTTTGGTGGGTCATCCCTTGATGGATCTGTATGCTTTGATGGTGAACCTATCACCTTAGATAGCACTGTTCCCATGAGCCCTCCATCCGGTCTGTGCCTTGAGAAAATAGGAAGTGGTGCTTACCTGAACATGGCAGCTCATCCTGATGGTTCCAGTCGTGCTTTTTTCTCAAACCAGCAAGGGAAAATTTGGCTAGCTACCATACCTGAGGTTTGTCACTCTTTAGAAATTATGAAGTTATGAGGGATACTCAAATCAATAAAAGTAGGAGTTTGTTTTTTTTTAACAAGGTTGGCAAGGGAGGATCATTGGAGCTTGACGAAAGCAGTCCATTTGTTGATCTAAGCGATGAAGTTCACTTCGACACTCAGTTTGGGTTGATGAGCATTGCATTTCATCCCAAGTTTACGCAGAACGGGCGATTCTTTGCTTCATTCAATTGTGACAAGCAACAATGGCCTGGATGTGCCGGGAGGTGTGCCTGTAACTCAGATCTCAAATGCGACCCTTCAAAGCTGCCTCGTGATAGTGGGGCCCAACCATGCCGATATCAAGCTGTTGTGGTGGAATTCACTGCCAACGGGACAACTGCCTCGTCTCGTCCTTCTGAGGTAGGAGTGTGTTGTTAACGGGTCAAGAAAGTTCTGTTTCTACTCCACGTTTATTTTCAGCCATCACAATGGAGTTTGGGTTTGTTTTCAGGCGAAAAGTGCCAGTGCAGGAGAAGTCAGAAGGATATTTACAATGGGTCTTCCGTTCACTGCTCATCATGCAGGCCAGATTCTTTTCGGACCTGCAGATGGATATTTGTACTTCATGATGGGGGACGGGGGAGGTTCATCTTCCTCTGATCCTTACGGTTTTGCACAAAACAAAAAATCACTGCTCGGAAAGATCTTGAGGCTTGATATCGACAACATCCCAAGTAAGTTAGTATTGGCACCCCAACCTCATCCTTAGGGTAAACTCATCCCAATTTGAACAAAAAATTCAAACAAGCATATAAAGCTTTGAGCTACTACTACTACTACTACTCTTATCTATACATTTGTTACCCTTTCTAGGTGCAACAGAAGTCGCCCGGCAACGTCTATGGGGGAACTACTCTATCCCCAAGGATAATCCTTACCTGAAAGATAAAAAACTGCAGCCAGAAATATGGGCCCTTGGATTGCAAAATCCATGGCGTTGCAGTTTTGATTCTGCAAGGCCATCTTATTTCATCTGTGGCGATGTTGGGAAGGTATCCGCTTCTGATACATCTATTCAAAACCAAATCTTTTTCTCCATAGAAAGAACTTTTGTTCAGTAGATTTGAGAATTCGTTTCACTTCTTTGTCCCCCGTTTGGATTTGTACTCATAGGACCATTATGAAGAAGTAGATATAATCACAAAGGGTGGGAACTATGGCTGGCACGTGTACGAAGGTCCCTTTCTCTTTACTCCTCCATCCTCACGGAGGAGGAACGCATCTGCAGATTCCTTAAACCCAATTTTCCCAGTGATGGGATACAATCACAGTGATGTGAATAAGAATGAAGGGTCTGCATCAATCATAGGCGGATACTTCTATCGCTCCCTCACCGATCCTTGTATGTATGGAAGGTTAGAGCTTAACCCATTCCCATATACACTCCTTGAAACTCAGTTTCACCAAAGAATCATGAGAACTATATTGAACTGCCAATGGTTATCATTTGCAGGTATTTGTTTGCTGATCTTTACGGCGGTGCTATATGGGCAGGGACCGAAAATCCAGAGAACAGTGGAGTGTTCAACACCACCCTGCTCTCCTTTGCATGCTCTCATGATTCGCCATTGAACTGTAGCTTCGTCCCAGGAAGCTCCTCGCGTCCTGCACTGGGTTATGTTTTTTCATTCGGAGAAGATAACAACAAGGACGTTTATGTATTAGCCAGCAGCGGCGTTTACAGGGTTGTCCCACCTAGTCGGTGCAAGTATAGCTGCTCTAAGGGAAACACCAGTGATGTTCCTGTTCCCACCACGCGTGGCGGCCCTGCTCCTCCTCCTCCTCCTTCCCAGGCAACCCTCTCTCCGGAGTTTCCAAGAAAGTGGGTAATGTTGTTGTTGTTTCTTTGTTTTCTCTTGGCGTGTTGAGCAGAAAACACAAAATAATAAAACATGTAAGAGATCACTATACAAAAGTTTCATTCAGGTATTATACCAAAGATCTTATTTGACTTTACAAGGATAGGCTTTCTTTCTTGTGTACAAGAAGACTAGTTCCATTAGTGATAGACCTAGACTACTACTACTAGTATTAAGCCCAGGGTCATGCTAGAATAACACCACGACCACGATGACTAGTGTCTGGAAATTTGTGTATACAACCACAGACGATTATATGAGTGTACGTACAAATTTACAAGACGATTGTCATTCGTAAAATCAAAGTTAAGTGTTATTCAAGCATTTTGGCTAAGCCCAAGTGCCTTTGAGGAGGGGAGTGATGGTGGCCGTCTCCCGGAAAGAGTTACCGATCAAATCGGAGCAGTTGTGGGCCCCGTCCGCATCCACTTCCGACTTGATATCAGGTCCGAGCTCCTCGCCGATGTTATCTGAGGCTGGAATCAGCAGAAACTCACACCCTTCGTAGTTCAAGAAGTCTGGCGGGTCTGCCGGAGTGTACCTCAGCTGGCCCATCTCCGCCTGGAGATGGGCTGGGTAAACGGCCCTCCTCTTCCTCTGCAACCCACTACTCATCCTCCCGTCCCCACCACCCTGGCTCTGTTCGGGGTTCTTGATCTGTATCAGAAACGAATCTTCTCTCTTTATGTTAAGCTCCTCTTGAGGCTCGTTTCTCTCGTCCTCCTCCGCCGGGAGTTCAAGCTTGTACACCAGATGGGTGTGCATTTTCTTCCCCGGATTATGCCTCAGGATCAGGTAAACTCCCTCTCCGGCAGCCCTCGCCGGCCCCACCCTCCGGTGACCTCTGGTGGAAGTATCATACTCCTTGCCCTTCAGCGCCGCTCTCACGTCCTCTGTTTTAGTCGTCACCATCTCCACGAAACCCCAGTGCGGACGGCGATCGCCGGAATTCTTCGTAGGGTCCGGCAAGCCCTTCTTCCCCATGACAATTAACCGGAGAAGCTGCTGTTTTCCTATGTTGATTTCTTCGCACCCCCGTCCGCCTTCCACGCGGGACTCGTCCCGCTTCTCCGACGTGATTTCGCGAGTCGGTTTGTTGTCGCTGGTGCGTGCACCTAGCTCCTCTCCTTCTTTCCCGGAGCTAGATTCTTGCTTCACTTCCACGTCTTTCTTGCCGGATTCCGGCCGGAGAACGATGTAGAACCGCTGCACGTCGTCCAGGCCTTGGGCTTCTTCCTTGCCCACTTTTGGCCGGAAAAAGAAGAAAATTTCACCTCGTTCCTGCATCAGCACACAAGAATCAGACTGGTGACGATGAAGTTTATAAATACATAATTATACATGGTACTCGTAAAACAAAAAAAGGGAAACCGACCGATGAAATTCACCTGCACTTCTACAGTGGGATCGCCTCTTCTTGTGTTATTAGATTCATCATGTCCTTCCCCCGCCATTTTTCTTCCTCTTTGTTTCGACAACATTCATGCTGGAGCTTCTGTTTTCTTCTTAACGCCGGCAGACACTCGCTTGCTTGCCCACGTGTACATACGCGGTCAGTGACGAAGATGACACGTGCCCCTTTCTCAGCTCTCATTTGGGCCGACTCTTATCCTATCAACTAGTTTTTATCCGGGCTCGTATATTTCTCTATAAAATATATCTATATGTTAACATAGATATTTTAAGTTAACATTTTGAATGTTTGTTAAAAGTTCAATTCATATATGAACATAATATGAATTAAAATTTAATTTTATTTATTTTAATGTTTTAATAATAATATGATATGCATTAATAAAATAAATAATGTAATAAGATAAATTTTTTGAAACAAATCGTTTAATTAATAAATATGCATATGTGATTAAATTTATATAATCATTTTTTAAAAAGTAATAAACTAAAATAAGTTGTGGATAGTATATATANGAGTTGAAGACTACTCTCTGCTGACAGAAAAATGCCCTGACCCGGACATCCTTTCAAATAACGAACAACTCTAAGGGCCGCAGACCACTGATCCTCCCTTGGTTCCTTCAAAAATTGTGCTAAAGTGTGGACGGCGTAAGAAAGTTCTGGTCGTGTAACGGAGAGATAGACCAACCTTCCTACCAACCGTCGATATGGCTCTGGATCTGCAAGAAACGGGGCTTGGGAACAAGCCAAGTGATGATTTGGCTCCATCGGGGCACCCAACGGCCTGGCACCTAACAACCCTGCCTCAGTGATGATATCTAAGGCGTACTTTCGCTGGCAGAGAAAAATCCCAGACGTGCTCCTCGCCACCTCAATGCCAAGAAAGTATTTCAGTGTTCCCAAGTCCTTCATATGAAAACAATCTCCGAGATAAGCTTTGAACTTGCTTACCATCTCTGTATTATCTCCAGCAATAATCAAATCGTCAACATAAACCAAAACATGTATGACTCCTTTCTTTCCTACGAAAGAAAATAAGGAGTAATCAGCAACAGATTAGACAAATCCATAACGTTTCAAGGCTCCAGACAACTTGGCAAACCAACACCTTGGAGCTTGCTTTAAGCCATACAAAGACTTCTTGAGTTTGCACACCACATTAGACGAATTTGAGAAACCAGGTGGCAATCTCATATACACCTCATCCTGAAGATCTCCGTGTAGAAATGCATTGTGAACATCCATCTGATGCAATTCCCACCCCTTAACTGCTGCAATTGCCAAAAGCGTTCTCACAGTGGTCAACTTGACTACATGAGCAAATGTTTCCTTGTAGTCAAGTCCTTCAACCTGGTGATTGCCAAGTATAACAAGTCTGGCCTTATATCTCTCTACACTTCCATCAGATTTGCGCTTGATCTTATATACCCATTTGCAACCAAGGGGTTTTTTATGGCGTGGAGGAGAGACAAGAGACCACGTTCCATTAGCCTCTAGTGCATCAATCTCCTCTCTCATAGCCTTCCTCCATCGTTCATCCTGAAACGCCTTCTTGAAACTTGTGGGCTCCACTCCAGCATCAAGTGCGCTGAGAAAACACTTGTGTCTGTCAGAGAACTTCTCGTGCGTGACATACGAAGCAAGAGGATATTTGCATTTTTCACCAACATGTGAACCAGCTACATGGGTAACATAATCGGCAAGGCGTACATTCGGACGTTTCTCACGCTGACCACGTCCCAAGTTCTCCACTGTCTGCTGAGAAGAGGACGATCGACCGCCGTCCTTGAAACGGTCCACGGGGTCGACCGTCTGAAGCGGTTCCAGATCGCTAACTTTCTGCCTCGGAGACGGTCGACCGTCTTCCACATCACGGTCGACCGTTTGATCATCTCTCAAAGAAACGTCATTCTGCCTCTCGGACGGTCGACCGTGGATATCAGAACGGTCCACCTGGTCGACCGTTTGGTCATCTCTTAGGAACCCGTCATTCTGCCTTTCGGACGGTCGACCGTGGACATCAGAACGGTCCATCAGATCGACCGTCTGTAGCCGGTCTGCTCTGCTGCTTTCCTCCGGTCGACCGTCCCTCCTGGAACGGTCCATCTGTTCTTCCGTCCGCAGTTCTTCATCTTCATCATAAAAGATAACCTCATTTGTACTTCATGTATCATGAGATGCACCTGTAGGAGTCAAGAAAGGAAAAATATCTTCACAGAACACAACATCCCGGGACACTTTAATTTCCCCAGTGTCCGGGTAGTAAATACGCCAACCCTTCTTCCCTTGTGGATATCCGACAAATATCCCAAGATTGCTTCGTGGTGCGAATTTATCTCCATTCCTCTTCAAGTTATGTGCATAACATCTGCATCCAAAAACACGAATATGAGCCAAAGATGGTGGCTTTTCATAGATCTTCTCGTATGGTGTGACCCCCCCTAGCAAAGACGAGGGTGTGCGATTGATCAGATGTGCGGCAGTTTGTATACATTCTCCCCAGAACTCAATCGGAAGACCAGCCTGAAATCTCAAAGCTCTACCCACATTCAAAATGTGTCGGTGCTTGCGTTCTACTCTCCCATTCTGTTGTGGAGTAGACACACAAGACGTCTCATGAATAATTCCTTGCTCCCGGAAATATTCGTTTAGACATTCAAATTCTGTACCATTATCACTCCGAACACACTTTATTTTCTTCCCAAATTGTCGTTCTACCATAGCACAGAATTGTTTAAAAACAGTACCAACCTTACGTTTGGAATCAAGCAAATATACCCAAACACCTCTTGAAAAATCATCCACAATAGTCAAAAACATTGTAGAACCATCAAGGCTTGGAGTCCTATACGGACCCCATAAATCACAGTGTATCATATCAAATTTATCAACAGATTGATAAAAACTTATAGGAAAACTCCCACGAGTCTGTTTAGCACGCAAACAAATGTCACAGCAACTGTGACTACTCTTACTTGTTCCAACTTCAGGAACAAGAGACAAAACATGAGAGGAAGGATGTCCAAGTCGTTTGTGCCAAAGATCAAACTTACTCTCCTTTTTCGCACTGCACACCATCTTCTTTTCAGGCTCCTTAAAGTAATAAAGTCCTCCTTCCTGCTCACCCGTACCAATTTCTGTCTTCAAATTCAGATCCTGTAGTATACACTTATTGTTGGCAAAACGTG